CTGACCTTTTGATTTTCTGACTCCAGCTTTTTGCACATTTCATTATACTTTGCTTATTCTTCCCGTGCTGCCCTTTAAAATCTTAGATTCAGCTCCTTAACATCTTGATTTCTCCACTTGGCTTAAGCTTCTCAGCACTCTAGTGCAATATTCAGAGTCTCTTCTGACACTTGTCTTTCTTGTGTCTCTATCTTTGTAATGACCTTTTGCACTCTTCCTGGATAATATTCTTGATATCTTCCCACAGCTCATCTGGTCTTCACTCATTAGTATTCAAGACCTCGAACCTGTTCCCAGATGATCTTTAAATTCAGGAGTTGTTTGTTGTTGTAGTGTACCATAGAGTCAGAACCAACCCCTAGCTGACCCTCCAGTGGGTTTTCAGAGGTGGTAATCACGTGGTAGGAGACTGCCCATCCTTCCCCCAGGAAGCAGCTCATGGCCTCAAATTGCATGATTTTGAGATTGCAGTGTAGCTTCTTGCCACTAGGCCACCAGTTGTTTATGTTGTTGTTGTTGTTGTTGTTAATTTTTGTAGCCACAGGAGTAAACATACATTTCAGTAAGCTGAATACAATATGGTTACATACAATACAAGGTTGCTATAAGGCCATTAAGGAACTAGAATGGCCTTTAGAGTTTTCTCTTTTATCTTGGGACAGAGTGGAAACTATGAAACAAGATCTTACACTGGTCCTGTATAGCCATTAAATGATGAGATTCCATTTAGTTAGACTAGAAGGTATAAGAAAAAGACTTTAGAATCAGGGAAGAAATAGCAGCAAAGCTGTGGATGCTGTCAGGTGCCAATAAGTCACCTAACAGTCAACAGTCCTATAAAATAAAAAACTCCTTGTGCTCTTCAGTGCCACCTTCACAATCTCTGACATGCTCAAGTCCATTGATGTAGTCACTCCATCAATCTATCTTGTTGAAGATCTTCCTTTCTTTTCCTGACTCTCTACTTTTCCCACTATAAGGTCTTTTTCAAAGAACTGATGCTTCCTGAAAACATGCCCAAAGTATGTGAGAAGCCTCACAATCTTTGTCCCTAAGGAACATCATGGTTGCCCTTCTTCCAGGACAAATAGCTTCTTCTTTTGGCCTTCCAGGAAATAGTCATACTCTTCACCAACACCACAATTCAAAGGTAACAATTTTTTATTCTGCTTTATTGTGTAACTTTCAAATGCATCTGAAGGAATTGGAAACACCAAGGCTTGAGTCAGGAGCACTTTAGTATTCAGACTGACATCCTTATTCTTTAGAACTTTAAAGAGGTTTTTGACAGATGCAGAATGTGTTTTGATTTCTTGACTGCTGCAGCCAGGGACGTTGTTTGTGAATCCAAGTAAAAGAAATCTTCTCTTCATCTATCAAGACATTGCTTTATTGGTCCAGCTGTGAGAATTTTTGTTTTCTTGATGTTGAAGTGTAGTTCATACTGAAAGCTGTGGCCTTTGATCTTCTTTAGTAAATATTTTGTCTTCTTCATTTTTAGCAAGAAAGGATGTATTAACTGTATAACACATAAATTGTTGATGAATCTTACTTAAATTTTGATGTGATATTCTTCCTCATGTAGTCTAGATGCATTATTTGATCAGCATACATATTGAATAGAAATGGAGACAGTATGCAACCCTAAAGCATATCTTCCTTGATTTTAAACTATGCAGTTATTGTTAGGTGCCATGAAGTTGAATATGACTCAAAGAGACACTATGAACCCTCTCCTTGCCTGTTTCATCCTCATTATCTCTGACATACTTAAACCCATTGCTACAGTCTCTGTATCACTCGAGCTTGTTTGGGATCTCCCTCTCTGACTCTCCATATTTCCAAGCATGATATCCGTTTCCAAGGAATAGCCTTTCCTAGTAACATGCAAAGTGTGAGAGTTGAAGCTTTGCCATCCTTGCCTCGAAAGATCAATCTGGCTACACCTTTTCCAATATATATATATATCTGTCCTTTTGGTAGTCAATGGGATGCACGTCACTCTTCTCTAACACCACAACACAAAGGTAACCATTCTTCTTCTGTCATCCTTATTAATTAACCAGCTCTCAGATGAGTAGCAAGCATTTGGAAAGACCCTGGCCTGAATCAATATCAATACTTTCATCTTCAAACTGACATCATTACTCTTAAGTATTTTGTAAAGGTCTGTGACAGTGAACTTGCCAATTGTAATACATCTCCTGATCTTCTGATTGCTAGTATCAAGGTTGTTGACTATTGATGAAAGCAAAATGAAATCATTGACACTTTCAATCCTTTTTCAATCTGCCATGATGTTGCCTTTTGGCTCAGTGATGAAGACCTTTGCTTTTTTGATTTTGAGATATAGTCCATACTGAAGGCTATAGTTTCTGATCTCCTGCAGCAAGCACTTCAGGTCCTCCTCACTCTCAGCAAGCTAGGTTATGTCATCTGCATAATGGAGGTTGTACAGCACTTGTCTCTCTGTCTGCTGTACTGGTGTAACTTGTGGGTTGCCGTGATGTTGGCAGCTATGTCAAAAGTGTTTCAAGTGATAACTGTACAACATCAGCTAAGAAAAAGCAAAAGAAGGAAGAGAGTTTATTATGTTTATATTCATTGTAGTGATAGATAGAGGTAACCTAAGGTTTTTGAACAGATGAATGTCATAATCAAAACTACACTGTAGGAATTTAATATGTCAGCAATATGTGGTAAATGGTTTGAATCATGAAATAATGATGTAGAGGAAAAGAAACCAGCCTAGATGAACAATCTACACAAAAAGTATTCTAGAATATTGATAGAGAAAGTAAAAAAGTGAGACTATGGAAGTGACATTATAAAAATAGCTTTGACAGTAAGCATTGACATTCAACTAGACCAGCGAAGAAGGAAAATGAAAAAGACTGAGACTTTTGGTTGGTTGTATGGAAAGAAGACTAGTAAATCAAGGAGAGAAGATTTTTAAGGGGGGAAAAAAGCAATACTAATTGCTTGCTTAATGATCATTGTTTGTTTTTAAGTCAATACATAAATACTTTGTAAAGAATCACATTAAACATTAGATAAAATGTCCCTGAATAGTAGTATAATTGTTAACACCCTCAACTTGTAATCATCTAAGAGACTGAAAGGTCAAGTACATCCAGAGGCATGGAAAAGGCCTGGTTACCTGCTTTAGACAAAAACAGCCACTGAAAACCCTATGAGCACAATTCTACTTTGACAAATATGAGGTCACCAAGAATAGGGTTTGATTCTATGAAAAAAGAGTTAGCTTTAGTTTATGCTAGTTGCATTTCTCTCACTGACATACTTGCCAAAGTTTGCAGTAATCTTGGTTGCAAAAGAAGAAATTAAGGGTATATAAAAAGAAGCGCTTGCTATAGAAGGTCAAGGACTGCTGTCTTCAATATAGATTGAAGCTCAACAGCAAGAAGACAAAGATTCTTACAACTAGGCCAATTGTCGGGACCATGATAGATGGATAAGACATCAAGACTGTCAACAATTACAGCTTACTCAGCTCTACAATCAACACTCTTAACACCAGCAGTCAGGAAATCAAAAGACCAATTGTGCTGGGGAAACCTGCTGTCAAGGACCTCTCCAGAGTACTGAAAAACAATGATGTCAGTCTAGAGACTAAGGTGCACCTTATCCAGGCCATGGTCTTTACAATTATTTGCTATGCATCAGAAAGTTGGACAATGACTAAGGATGACAAAAGAAGAATTGATGTCTTTGAGTTGTGGTGCTGGAGAAGAGTCTTGAACATACTATGGATTGTCATGTAGTTTCTGTCTTGAAAAGGGTGAAAACAAGTTTCTCCTAGAAGGCTAGGATTTTGAAGCTCCATCTCACATATTTTGGGCACAAGGCCAGGAGGAAACAGTCCTTACAGAAGGACAGCATGCTTAGAAGGGTGAAGGAATGGCACAGGAGAGAAAGACCCCAGATGAGATGAATTGATACAGTAACTGGAGCAATAAGGGTAGGTATGTCAGAATCAGTGAGAGTGGCTCAGGACAGGGCAAGCTTTGGAGCTGCTGTGCATAGGGTGGCTTAAAGTCACAGCAACTCAACGGCATATAACAACAACATCAACAAAAGGAAATGTATTCATAATGATAATGTCCAATTGTAAATTGTCAATAAGAGGTGGTGATTAATGAGCTTTTCCAGTATATGGTGAAGTGCCAGGCAGATTTCTAATCAGATGTATAGGACTTGGGTTTTTCTGGTCCCTTACTCATATATGTAGGTTTTTCTTTGACATAGAACAGCAGGGAAAGCTTAAGGAGCTCCCAGCTTATTTTACTTCTAAGACAGATGAGATGCCATGTCAGCAGTTTCCTCCAAACAAAGAAATAAGTTTTACTGAAAATGTTACTGAGAACTGAAAGCCTATGAACACAGCCAATCCAGGGGAGAGAAATCTATTTCTGATGTGTATTTCCCCCCCCCTGAGAACACTGACACATTGGGGCATGTGAGAAGCAAAGTCTCCTCCTGCCATAGCCACAGACCAGCTCCTCTCTCAGTTGAAAGGCAGCTTTGAGTAACTGAGGCTGTGACACCAGGCTCCATCTTACCACTGGGCCAGCTTGTTCCAGCCAAGGTCTGAGCTCTGTGTTTGCTCTCTCAGCCCTGTCCTGGAAGAGGTTGCATCAGGCAGCCACCCACTCCTCCCTTTGTCAAAACGGTGGCTAATGCTTCACTAGCCTGTGGAGATTAAATTCTGTTTCAGAGGAGAAAGGTTGAACTGGGCCCAAAGAGGAGGAGTTTAAACTTGTGTGCAAAATCTGGGAATCTGAGTAAGCAGAGGGTGGCAGCTCGGATGAGGAAAAGTGAGATGAGAAGGACTGCCTGCCCTTCTGGGTAGAAGATCCCGTGACCAGCTCCAGCCATTGGCAGTTTGTCCATCCTAGGAACTTACATAAAGGGACTTGAACCCAGAGAGGCCCACAGAACCAACACTACAGGGTTCGGCACACGGGCCCTGAGGCACCATGAGTTTATCCTTGCATGCCCGGAGTTTACTTCTCTGTTTCTACACTCTCCTATTTTTCTCGCCAACACATCTCCAAGTAAGTGTGCTGTTCACAATACGTACTTGTTTTAAATAGAAATTAGAAGAAGATACATCATGAACTATTGACATTTCTTTCTTTTACCTTCTGTAGTATACGCCTACCAAAGCCAACTGCTGCATCTTAGATGAAAGATTTGTAAGTAGCTTTTCTGTTCCTTGCTTTGTGCTTGAGGTTCAAAGGGCCAGATAAATTAAAAAATACTCTTTCTACTGTCACTTGACACTTAAAACATTTTTTTAAATCCTAGTCTAGATTTCCTCTGTTTTAAAATGGTAGATTTTAAGTGCAAACGATAAGGTGTGTAAATTACTTTCTTGCTGCATTCTCAGGGTAGTTTTTGTCCAACTACATGTGGCATTGCAGATTACCTGTCGACTTACCATGATGACATAGACAAGGACCTACAGGCATTGGAAGACATCTTAAATGGCGTTGAAAACAAAACAGCAGAAGCCAAAGAACTCATCAAAGCGATCCAAGTCAGCTACGACCCCAGTCAGCCATCAAGACCAAGTGAGAAACTAGACTGTGTACAGAAAAGAATTTGTAAAGTCCTGTTGCTTTTGCTGCTCTTGCTTAAGTATTTTTTTTAATCTCTGATTTCATATTGCAGGTGTTATAGAGGGAGCTACTCAGAAATCCAAGAAAATGTTAGAAGATATAGTGAAATATGAAAACTTGGTTGTAACACACGAATCAAGTATCCGGTAAGCATTTGTTTTCATTTGCTCTCTGAAATGGACTTAATTCTTATTCAACATTACAACCTGTAGGAAAAAGCAATCTTTTGAAGTTCTCCCCCACCCCCAACAATACTCAATTGTCATTAGCTTGACTATCTTGAAGACTGGGATGGGAGATGTTGGTGTAAACTGAGTCATATTGCATTTCACTTATGTCTTAACAGTCACACGGCAAAGTGTGCTAGATGTCTTAAAATACTAGAAGCAAAATGCAATAGCAAATTGCCACCCATTTATCTGTATTTTAAATCCAAATTAATGGGAATTTGTGTGTTGAAACAAATTTCTGTATAAAAATGTCATCAAATCTGTGGTGAGGAATTAGTAAGTAAGCAGAGGCATAGATAGGAAGCCTTTTGGCTCCTAAAGCAAATGATACTGAAAAGGGAGCAGGAAAAAGAAAACAACAAACAAGGCTTAGAAAAGTTTAGCAAACTTTGTCAAACTACATGTTGATCATGATGCAATGAACCTCCCATTATGTAATCGCCTAACTTCGCCTGGAGGTAAAATGTCTCTTGCTTCCCAAGGCCTTTGATAAAGTTTCATACACAGTTTTCAATTTTTCCGAAATTGTTCTCAAAGTAGTGTAAGGACTTAAAAGAAACATTGTGGGGATAAGTGGCCCAGAAAAAGCCATTTCTCTCTCTCTCTCTCTTTAATCAGAGGACTGTTATTATTACCATGATGATTATTCTTACCATAATTTGTTTTATCACTGTCCATTATTGATATTGAATGAGACTGAGATAGAGAAATTTTCTGAGCTTGTTGTTGTTGTTGTTGTTATGTGCCGTCTAATAGCTTGTGACTCATAGCGACCCTATGTACAACAGCCCTAAACCCTGCTCTGGCCTATGCCAATCGCATTGTCTCTGACACTCCCATCCCAATTACCCCAGTCACTGAATCAATCTACCTCCTAGAGGGCCTTCCCCTCCTGGGCTGTCCCTCCACCCTCCCAAGCATGATGCCCTTCTCCAAGGACTGGTCGCTCCTTAGAACATGTCCAAAGTTTGTTAGATGGAGCCTCAGAATCCTTGCCTCCAAGGAGCAGCCCGGTTTAACCTTTTCTAGGATGAATCTGTTTGTTTTCCTAGCAGTCCATGGTACCCTCAATACTCTTCTCCAGCACCACAGCGCAAAGGCATCAATTCTCCTCTATCCTCCTTAGTTATTGTCCAACTCTCTGATGCATAACAAGTGATTGCGAAGACCATGGCCTGTATCAGATGCACCTTAGTCTCCAGAGAGACACCATTGCTCTTCAGTATTTTGGAGAGGTCCCTAACAGCAGACTTTCCCACGGCAATATGCCTTTTAATTTCCTGGCTACTGGTGCCAAGAGTGTTGACTGTGGAGCCAAGCAAACTAAAGCTGTAACAATCTCGATAGTGTGTCTTAATACTGAAAAAAAAAAAAAGAAAAAACAAAACAAACCTACGCAGAGCAGTTTACACACTGTAAATGGTTTTATCACTTCTTTACATAGGTAGATATTTGGTGAGAGACTAGGAAGCAATGTTTTGCTTCTTCCTGTGCTTTTCTTTTAAATTATTTTTTATTGTGATTTGAATGAAAGTTTACAAAGAAATTGGCTTTTCATTCACTCATTCATGTTCACTTCTCCCCCCTTCCCACTCAATTCAATGTGTAATGCATGGCTTGTCATAGACAGTTAATTGCAACACACATATGTCTGATGGTCCATTTATTTCAGATTGACAGGCCTTCATCTATTGCAAGACAATATTCATTATTTATCGATTCTTTTCCTATTTTCCCCATCACCCCATATCATAGCCACCCTGTCTTTATAATAGTGGTCTTACACAGTATTTGTGCTTTTGTGACTGAGTTATTTCCCCAGCGTAATACCTTTTAGCCTCATTCCTGCTTTTTCTCAATGTATCTAGAAACATGAAGGAGAAAGGAAAATGCCTGTTGTTTCCTTTATATAATTGCCCAGATACTTTTCCCATGTAAGTTATAGGTTGAAGTTCATCAATTGAATCTCAGTAGATCTATAAAATGAGAAGGAATAAGACTTTTAATATATATAATTACTGAGTCGTTGTTGCTTCAGGATCGCTGGAAAGTGTTCCTGTTAACTAGGCTCATTCCTTATGCAGAATCATGCATAAACATGTTAGAGGTCAGGAATACCATGCTAAATGGCTTTTCCTTTTTGATGAGACCTTTGCCATTTGTCATTGACTATGGACTTTCCTTGTACCTGAAAATATTCTAAGTAAAATTATACTCCTAATTTAATGAAAATAGTTGTTGTTGTAAAAAACTTGGAATTTGCTTTTTACTTCCATTAAATCACATACTTTTATCATTTTCTCAAAGATAGAACCACTAAAATAATATATCAACAAGTCATTGTTGGAAAAATTAGGAATATTTTTTTACTTTTTTATAAAATTACTCTTCCAAAACTAAGCATTCTTACATTATTCTTCTGCTTATAGATTTTTGCAGGAAATATATACTACAAATAGCCAAAAAATTGCTAACCTCAAACAGAAGGTAACCCAACTTGAAGCAAAATGTCAGGAACCTTGCAAAGACACAGTAAAAATACATGATACAACTGGAAAAGGTAAGTGGAAGGCTGGTTTTGGGGTCATGGTCACCAAAGCCACCAAAGCAAATAGTAATCATTGCATATATTGAAATGTGTAACAGTTTCGAAAGTGGATAGAAAGTAAAGATTTCAACTTCTTGGATTTTTTGTTGACTGGCTAAAACAGTTTGCAAGGACTGATGATATGCTAAGTAACAAAACATTTCTTAAGAAATCCATGGTTTGCAACATGTTGTACAATTTGGTGGATGGGGATGAGGGAAATTTGAAGAAACTGTTTTGGAAATTTTGTAAATAATCTAATATAATAATAAAAATAAAATAAAAACAAAATCCTTTTTCAATACTGGTATTATAATCTCTCCTGTAATTTAGGGAATAGATAAAGTTTCTTCCTTTTCTTCTTCAGATTGTCAAGACATTGCAAACAAAGGAGCCAAAGAGAGCGGTCTTTACTTTATCAAGCCTCTGAAAGCTAAGCAGCAGTTCTTGGTCTATTGTGAAATTGATGAATCTGGAAATGGGTGGACTGTGCTTCAGAGGGTATATATCTTTTTTCTCATCAATTTAGTTAACAACCAGATTTTTTTTCTGCTACATGTAATATATCTTTCTAAACACCTGTGAATGCTTATTTGGTTAGCCCTTCATAATTTCTTGTACCACAGAGACTATTATTGCCCCATTTACAGACGACACTGACATACAGGGATTCAGTGACTTGCCCAAGGCCACATAACTTCCATGTAGGTGAGTCAGGATTTGAATCCTGGCAGTCTGTTCTCAGAGTCTATACTTTGATTCTGTACTGTATTGACAGTGTTGTTGCCGTTTCTTAATCAGAGTACCATGTGGCATAGAAATAGAAGATACTCCTTTTATTAGACAAGAGGTTTCTTATCACAAGAAGATGAAGCCCACCAGAGAATATAGTTGTTCTGCTCTGAGACAAGGCACCTCTGTTGTCTCTTCTAGCCACTAGCACTGATGGTGGATCCTGGATCTCTTACCTTGCATTCACTGGGTACCACTGGTGCACCTGCTTCGGCAGAGGCCTCTCAGGAAAGGCATGCATGGCAGAAGAACTGGCTGATGGACCCTATTTCTATTTAATCTGCAAGATAGAGCAATATCAAGCTTATATCTGAAATCCTCTAAGTATCTGTAAAATTACCATGGGCCAGGCATAATTTTTTTTAAGAATTTATCTTATGTGCTCTTCTGTAATATTGCACAACTGGTTTATGAACCAGATCCTATTAATAATCTCATTTTTAAAAAGTAAACCTCATAACTGACAGATGAAGAAACTGAGGCCACTTGCCCAAGATTAATGTTAGTAGATGATAATATTATACCTTCCATACTTTCAACAAAATGTTTATAGCCATTTCTTTACATGCATTGTTAATCTTCCCTCTCCTTTCTTTTTCTCATGCAATTGTGTAGAGACTTGATGGTAGTGAAAATTTCAATAGAAATTGGATTCAGTTTAAAGAAGGATTTGGACATCTGTCTCCTACTGGGACTACAGAGTTCTGGCTGGGAAATGAGAAGATTCACTTGATAAGTACACAGTCTGTAATTCCATATGCATTACGAGTGGTATTAAAAGACTGGAGTGGCAGAACCAGGTATTGTTATGAAAGGACAACTTTTTCATTGTGAAATAGGATGTAGATTTTTCCATACCATCTAGAATACTCAGTTTCCAACTATTATACCAATGGCAAGACAGTGTGGAAGATATGAAAAGTACATTCCCTGGGATCACTTTGGTTCTTGGGCATTCCCAAAGAGGTTCTATCTAGAATGGTCCTCAGGGACTTGGTATCTCTGAGTTCACTCCAGAACTATTTGGAATAATAGCTAATATTTACCGAGTTTTTAATTTACACTGTTGTTGTTATGTGCCATCGAGTCACTTGAGACTCATAATGACCCAATATACAAGAGCCCTAAATCCTGCTCTATCCCGTGCCGAACTCATTGTCTCCGACACACGTACTCCCACTATCCCAATTAATGAATTGATCCATCTCATTGAGGGTCTTTCTCTCCTGTGCTGTCCTTCCACTCTCCCAAACATGATGTCCCTCTCCAAGGACTGGTCCCTCCTTGCAACATGTCCAAGGGATGCCAGACAAAGCTTCAGAATCCTTGACTCCAAAGAACAGCCCAACTTCACTCCCTCCAGGACATATCTGTTTGCTTTCCTAGCAGTCTATAGTACATTCAACACTCTTCTCCAGCAACACAGCTTGCATCAATTCTCTTTCTATCATCCCTAGTCACTGTTCAGCTCTTCAAACATAGCACACAATTGCAAAGATTATACCCCGGATCAGGCAATAATCTAATTTATATAAAATAATTTTGAGTCAGATACAATTAATAATCACATTTTTAGAGATTAAGTTACAAGTCAAATTGCTGGTAAATGGTAAGGGTGATATTTGAACTCAAAGAATTAGACTCCAGAGCCCACTCATTATTACCACTACCCTAACTAACACACTAATCCAGATTCTTCATATGTCCCAATATTTTAATGTCAACCCATTCAATCAGATCCACGAGGGCCTTAATATTAAGTCAGGTAGCTTGTTTGGTGGACTAGAACCCCCTTCCATTTTACATTCAGAGATACCTAAGAGCTTTGAGTGTTGCATACCTAATTACAATGAAAAAGATCCAATACTCTTGTCATGTCTGTCAAATAATACATTTTAAAAATCTTTCTCCAAACAGAGAAAGATTTAAAAAAAAATACTAACTCGTACCAGAGCCAGAAGACCTATTTTTCTGTGAGAATATCTCCTATTCCCTGAGTTCTGGAAATTAGGAAAGAAGGAGAGACTCTCAGCTCATGCTTTGTAGGCCTGGCAGGGATCATTTCTTTTCTGTAATACTCTTAGAGGTCCTTTTTCTTTTCACTACTACACTGTCTTGGAACAGAGGAATCCCTTTCGGATTTGACCTTTCAGGTGATGAGTGGCTAATGGTGCCACATCTCCTAGAGCTCCTCCCTGCCAGGTAATTTCTTATAAGGTCTTTGGAAACCATATGCCCAATGCTGAACAAGCAAGTAAAAGTAGAAAATGAAAGATTTATCCTCACCACTCAAATATTTTGATTAGATATTTAAATCTTACAGGCAAAAGATATTTAATGAATAAAGCACTCAGTTTTCTGTGAGATATGTTCTGAAGACTAGACCCTTATGGATACTGGCATGCTGTGAATTGGTTCACACTTATTTTCCCTTCCAAGATGTGCAGAAAACTTTACCCAATAAGCATACTTGAGTTTAAAAAACATATTTAGAACCTCCAAACCATTATCCTATGGAGGAAGGCATCTCACTCAGGTCTTTAACAAACCTCAGATATTGATGTCTCTTTCCCCTTCTTTGCAGTACTGCAGACTATGCTACATTCAAAGTGGGGCCTGAAGCTGACAAATACCGCTTGACATATGCATACTTCATTGGTGGAGATGCTGGAGATGCCTTTGATGGCTATGATTTTGGAGAATATCCTACTGACAAGTTTTTCACATCTCACAATGGGATGCAGTTCAGTACCTGGGACAATGACAATGATAAGTATGATGATGGCAACTGTGCTGAACAGGATGGATCTGGCTGGTGGATGAACAAGTGTCATGCTGGCAACCTTAATGGAATTTATTACCAAGGTAAAGTTCTCTTTCTTGAATTTCGGACTTGCTATATAATTTATATTTTCACAAATGGCAGTAAGTAGATGTAAAGAAATAAGAGAGAATTTGTAAAGATATTAGAGACTTTACCATATTTGGAACTAGCAATACCAAAGTTTATCATTAAGATTAATTCCTTTACAAGAAACTAATCTGCTAAAAAATATCCTGTGATTTGTCATTGTACCTAAACATACAACTATTGGCACATTAGGTTATAATAACAGCTTTAGATATTCGGCACATACGTATATTAACTGCACAAAATAACTTTACCACAATGTTTGTAAACACATTAACCTGACTCAGCTTCCCACGAGCTATACATGAAATACAATCAGTGAGCAAGTATTGGGACAAGTATATTAAAGTGTAGGGAGGTTGGTAAGGGTATGGTCCATGAAAGCTGAACAGGAGAAGAATCCATCCAAGGTAGTGAATAAATCAGAATTAGTTATAAAGACTAATTTCACTTAGTATCTAATGTGAAACTCCAATGATGTGGCCCACAGGGAGTTGTGCTGCTAACTTAGAGGGAGCGCCTGCCCCTCTAGTGATTAGAATCCACCAGAGGCCTCTCAGGAAAGAGATAGGCAATCCCTTCCCATGTGATTTACAGCCTCCGAGAATCCACTGCAGAGTCAAATATTAGTGGGTTCCGACTTGACGACAATGGATTTTGTGATCGAACTTGAGGTGCCAGATGCTTTACTGGTACTAAATGATTCATTAAGAATCATATACTATAGATACTTCCCTCAGCTACTGATAAGAAACCCCTAATCACTAGAGATATGTTCCAGTCAGTAGTCAGCTTGGAACTCTGTTGATCCAAAAACAGATCTTGAGGGATTTTTGTAATTGTTTAAGACATTTTTTTTTCCATTTTAGAAGCCCAATTTACCTTTCCATCTACAAACTCCACAATTAGAAAAATTCAGGCAACATGTTTCATATATACCACCCAATATAGCTATCTGATACATTCTAGTATTGAAGTAATTACTAGAATTACAAGATTATGTGAGAGACAGTGTTTAGTAACTGAAAGCAGAGTAACCTAAAGTTAATTTAATAGCAAAGATTTAGAGTAAAATTCTAAACCACGTTTCAAAAGGGCCTCATAAAAAAGCTCACCAAATCCACTGATGATGAGTCAATTAGACTCATTACAACTTCCAAGTCTTCATGAATCTTCATGGGAAGAAACTGTCCATCTTTCTACCAAAGAACCAATTGTGGATCCAAACTGCTGATTTTCTATTAGGCAATGGAACACATAATGCCTCATGCCACCAGAGAGTCTTACTTGACCTATTTCTTTGGTAAAATTTTGGTTTCGGCTAACCTGAGCCCATCTGAACAGGAATCTTGTAACTCCAGCCATTTTGGCTTGCCTTATGGCTTACACATAGGGAGGGCTTCTTTGGAGCACTTACCTTTAATAATGTCAAAGATTAAAGTAGTATAGAATGACCATGAAGCACAACACAAATGTAAAGTGCTGTTTAAACATGAATTTATTTCAATGGTGAAATTTAGGGATATTTTTAGTTGGCAGATAACATTGTGAATCTGAGGTAACTGGTAGTGGATTTCATAATGGGCAGTTCTTCTGAGGTATGGAAGTTCAAGGGCAATAATGTCAACATTTGCAACTCATTTTAGGTGGCAATTATGCAAAATCATCTACACCTCATGGCTTTGATAGTGGCATTATTTGGGCAACCTGGAAATCCCGGTGGTATTCTATGAAGGAAACTACCATGAAGATAATTCCACTCAACAGACTCTCCATAGACGGACAGCAACATTTCCTAGGAGGAGCCAAACAGGTTCGACCTGATGACCACTATGTTGAAATAGAAAACGATTAATTACACTGGTAATTGTTCAGATAGAATAACTGCCATTTCAGTTATAAAGCTTCAGAAACATTGCTGAATTTCCCCCCTTATTCCCTTAACTGTATTTATCACGTTGAACTTTCAAATAATACTATTTAGCCTTAAGTGGAAATTAATACTCACTTTGGGCTGTACTCACCTGTTGTAAAACTAAGATTTATTTTAAAATTGCTTGTTTGAGGAAAGAATATTTTGATTAATTTCCTAAACATGTAATAATAAAACCATTTTCATGTTTTCCATTTTGCTGACTACATGCGGTTTTGTACTGATAATTGTTTTGATTAATTCTTAAACAATTTATGACATCCTAATAAAACAGACATACATTTTGAAGATTTTAAATCCTAAATATTTCTTCCATTTTTATTGATCTTGTCTATTTCTTATTGTATGGAAAGATTATATCTATTTTTTTATTTATTTTCTCTTTTGGTCATAGGTTGGAGACGTTTAAAAGAACATTTCAAAGCATAATTTGCTTTTTTTTATAGAATTTTATTTGAGCAGAGAAATAGAATATTTTTTTCCTATGGGACAATGGACTTGCAAAGCCTCACTTCATTTTAATAATAAAAAAACTCATGTTGAAAACTCCACTAACAGTTTTATGCTGATAATAATTTATCTACATGCTATTTCAATAAACATTTTGTTTCCTAAAACTTGCTACCTAGTGTTCCTTATTGACCATTAAAAATCAATTTTCTGTCAATCGTGATTAATTTTAATTTTATAAAATACAACACATATGAATGAACAAACAAAACAATGTGAATGAAGGAATGTGTAAAACACAATGTATAAAAATTTTATATGCAAACCAATATAGATTTAAAAAAATCCATTTTCTTCAATTTGATAATTATGGTTGCATAATCATCAGTACTTCCTGAGCACTCACTTTATACTAAATCTGATTTATACTAAATCTGGCATCTGATTCTTGGGAGTTAAGAAGGAAATAGAAAATAGATACCAATCACTGCTGTCAAGTCATAAGCCACTCGTAGTTGACCCTCCTCCCAGCAGGTTTTCAGAGCATGTACATCTCAGGGATGAGACTGCACAGGGAAGGTGCATTTGAATTGCTATACAGACGCCATCTTCACCTTTGGATTTAGCAGCAAACTCCCAACAGACCAGACCTCCCAGAGAGGGTAAAGTAACTGACACATTTTTTGGTGGGGAAGATCTGTTAGTTCTGAAATTTTGAACTTTGGATTCCACATCTTTGATCCTGATTTTAAAATATCCCCCCTAGGGAGATAATTCTACTTCTAGTTATAAAGCAAAATGCTTGTAAAGTTTTGGGAAGCAGTTTATTCACTCGTTGTTTATTCATGTGTACATGCATCATTTATTCAACTCCCATCTGTGTAAAGTTTTCATTTAACTACCTGTTGCTGCTCTACATACTGGAAATAGAGCATATTGCTTCATCCTTTCATGAATGCTGGTGGTGAATAGGTTAAAGCTGTTTGATACCAAAAATCTGGGTGGTTTGGACCCACCAGACACTAAATGTGAGAAAGATGTGGCAGTTTGCTTCCATAAAGATTTACAGTCTTGGAAATGAAGAGGCAGTTCTCTTTTGTCCTATAGTGATTTTGAGCCAGAATCAACTTGATGGCAGTAGATGTCACCCTTTCTCCCAAACTCTTCTTTTCCATCCAGTTCTAAAGGTACAAGTATTGATTCATCCTAGATTTATTCCTATTTCCTACTTACATGCAATTAACTAACCAAACAAATCAAATCCATCTCTAAATATTCATTATACTATGGCATTCCCTTCTTTCTGACAACCGTCATCACTCTGGTTGAGATACATAGTTTCTCTTGCCACCATAGTAATGACAACAGCCTTCTTGTTTTCTTTGCCATCAGTCTTGTTTGCTCCCACTTGGCTATGCTCCAAAGTACTTCTCAAATCAGAATACAAATTGTTCCTTTTTGTGAATCTCTAAAATCCTCTGAACAAGCAACTTGGTATGAAGAGTGAGACAATATTCTTAAATATCAATTTGTTAGTACTAGTCTAGTACTTTGTTGAAGTGCTGGTAACACAATGATTAAATAATAGACTATCAACTGAAAAGTTGGGGATTCATATTCCAGACTCTTTATGGAAGAAAAAAAACCCTGATGATCAGTCCCCATAAAGATTATAGCCTAGGAAATGCTATGGAGTAAGTCCTAAATTATAAATGTATTTGGAAGCAGTAAGAAATTTGAGGGGGAAAAATAGTGAAATTATGGATAAGTGATATAATTTTCCAGTACAATGCAAAGTTGTTGTTGTTGTTATGTGCCATCGAGTCGCTTGCGACTCATAGCGGCCCTGTGTACAACAGCCCTAAATTCTGCTCTGTCCTGTGCCAATCGCACTGCCTCTGATATACCCATCCCGATTACCCCAGTCACTGAATCAATCCAGCTCATAGAGGGCTTTCCCCTCCTGCCCTGTCCTTCCACCCTACCAAGCATGATGCCCCTCTCCAAGGACCAGTCTCTCCTTACAACATGTCCAAAGTATGTCAGACGAGGTCTCAGAATCCTTGCCTCCAAGGAGGAGCCCGGTGAATCTGTTTGTTTTCTTAGCAGTCCATGGCACCCTCAGCACTCTTCTCCAACACCAAAGCTCAAAAGCATCTATTCTCCTTCTGTCTTCCCTGGTCATTGTCCAGCTCTCTGATGCATAACAAGTGATTGCAAAGACCATGGCCTGTACCAGACGCACCTTAGTCTCCAGAGACACACTGTCGCTCTTGAGTACTTTAGACAGGTCCCTAACAGCAGACTTTCCCATCGCAATACATCTTTTAATTTCCTGGCTGCTGGTGCCAAGAGTGTTGATTGTGGAACCAAGCAGACTAAAGCTGTGAACAATCTCAATCTCTTCACCATCCATCCTGATGCTGCCAATTGGTCTAGTGGTGAAAATCTTTGTCTTCTTGGCAT